TGAGAAAACTTCAGGGGCAACCATATAGAAGCAAAATTACCCCATATCACACAGGAAATACAAAAGATGAAACAACTATAGTTTTACCAATTCTTAAATAAGAATTCATGATATGAATATGGAAAGCATGGAGGGAAGTGAATACCTGAAGGCCTCCTTCAGCATATAACCGTCCTTGCATAAGCAAGAGAATTGTTGGCACACTATTACCTCTAGAGTCGTATGACAGCTGCATGGACTCCGTGGAAACTCCAAAAACAGTTGTACTACATAGTAAAAACTTAAAGTCAAGGGATAAACAAAGAGACAGAAATGATAATACTTGAATGATTATCTTTCTAAACAAAACAAACACTTCCAAGCTTTGATTCAGGAACAAATAGTTGAGCTGATGTAATGTTGTAAAGAGTTCCTTACACATTGTGCAATTGCAAAGTTTCATCTCATTCATCTGCGATGATCCTGAATGAGATTGAATCCGCAATTGTCAATGTCATCACCCTTACTCAATCGAAGACACCACTCGACCAACCCATCAGGAAGGCAACACCTTTAACCAATCCACAACTAGGCCGAAATCAAGGAGGTTAATAGAACATAATCAGGCAATGCATGTACCTCAGAATGTCGAGGTTTAATCAAATCCGGCCAAACCAAAAAAAAAAAATCAGAAATCGACTGTAGTGTACCCTCACAATCTCAATAATTCCATAGCAAAACAAAAACAATACTATATAAACAACATGCACTATTTAAATTCAAGAAATTCACAAAATTTCAATATCAAGCAAAACCCATCGACCAAAACCAAATGCAAGCAAAGCCCATCAACTAAAAACAAATGCAAGCAAAACCCATCGACCAAAACCAATAATTAATCAACTGCAACAACTGGGTTAAACCCACATTGACATTTCACCCAGAAAGGTAAAAAAAGAAAAGTTACCTTGCACTGGGAGGCCTACTGGGCACTTCAGGTTCAAACTCCACGGGCAAACCCAAGAACCCATTGAACCTATCAAAGGTGACATGGGCAACGTGCCGCACATTGGTTGGCCATCCGATCTGCATAGCGCAAACCTGCCTCCTGTCACTCTTGCACGGAATCAAAGATTTCCTGAAAAAGGTGACCAGCAACGCCAACAGAGAAAGCTGCTCCCTTCTGCGCTTGTCACGGTCCTTCGCCTCACAGTCAGCCACCGCAGAGTCGCAATCGTCGTCCTCTTTGCTGCGCGGGGGTGCGCCGGACAAAGAAGACGGGGGTGCGCAGGACAAGGAGACGGATGAAGAATTGGAAGGAGGAAGAGAGGAAGAGGAGCTGGGTCTTGGGGAGGAACAAAAATGGGAAGGGGAATGGAGAACCTCTGTCATGGCTGGCAACGAAAGCAACCCCTTTTCTTTTTCTTGATTAAAAAACAAAAGAAAGCGTTTTCAAGATTGTTTCTTTGGCTTGGTCTTGCTCAAGGTTTTGCAGAGGGGGGAGAGAGAGAGAGAGAGAAAGTTGGATGATAATTGGATTGAAAGGAAAGGAAAGGGTCTCATTTGGGGAATGCAATGTGGGACGTGAGTATCATTAACTGAAATAAATATGGTTTTTTTTTTTTGCTTACAGAGGAGAGAGAGAGAGAGAGAGAGAGAGAGAGAGAGAGAGAGTTGAGGATTTGGTGGGAAGTCATGACTCATGAGAGAGAGGAAGTAAAATACGGTAGGTTTTGGACGGCTTTAATTTTCTACGCGTAGGTTTTAATTAAGCGTCCACAATCCACATCGCCCCTTAGTTTGGCAGCTCACTGTAGACTCTAGATAGAGTCGGAGAGTGAGGTTGGCTGGCGGCAGGTATTTGGGTTTTTGCAATGGACACCCGGCTTTCGACAAGTTTGTAAACTGGGAATATTTTTGCTGGCCTCTCACTCTCCAGTGGGTATAAAAATAAAAAAACTGTGAAACCAAACCTAATCCAATTAAAAAAATTATAAAAAATCGGATTGACCAAAACCGTTCAGACTTGGACCGGAAGCGAACCAGTTTAAAACGGTTCCACTTCATTAGTTTTTTTTTTTTTTTTTAAATCTAATTCTTTAGCCCTTGTTTTACATAAGGGCAATGCTAGTGAGACCTAATTTATAGACAAAATTTTGAAAACTAAAGACCATGAAAGTTGATGATTGGTTTATTACTTAAACATCGATAAACATGTTTATTTTTGTTGGTGATACATTATTTGTTTGCATACTTTATCTTCAAATTTAATGTGTCTAGCATTACCCTATATATAAATACTAAGCCCAAACTAAAAACCTATATATAAAAGTCTCAAGTACAAAAGTCAAATTTAATGGGTATGTAATATGTCTTACCTAATCCTTATTTACGTTGTTTTCTCTCTTTCGATAGTAATATCTTTTATCATTAATATATTATTGTTTTACAAAAACATCTTTGACGTCATAGATGAAAACCGGACAAAATGAACAAAAAATAGGATGACATGGACACAAATTACGTTTCAAGTGAAGTATCATATGGGCGTGTTTGTTTAGCTTCACTAGATCTCGCTGGACTGGACTAGACTAAAAACTAGTGTAGTCAAGTATTTGTTTGCAAGAGGCACTAAGTTTAATGAGACTAGATGGAATTCGCCTCGACTAAAACACCTGCTAGGTGGTCTTAACGAGACCCCTCGAGAAAGAGGGGACTGCTAAGACCCTATTCTCCTTCACTTCGCCCCTATCCAGTCCCCGCTTCTCTCTTTTTCTTTGTATTTCCTCTCTCTGCTTGAAGCTTTAGATGTTCATGGTGGCTGCACTATCATTGATCAGATGCGATGACCCAGATTCTTCCACCACCGACATCAGCCATGGGGGTTGGACAGGAGCAACCTCGTTGCTCATGGTGACCCAGATTCTTCTGCTGACATCATTGTTGCTCAGAGATGGTGACCTGGGATTTTGAAATTAACAAGTTTTGGGTGCAAAAGGTTAGGTTGGAAACATAGTATAGGGAAATTTCGTGCAAAAGATTGGTGCAAGATTGAAAACTTTAGCATCGGGTGCAATGAAGTTAAGTGATTTTTCTTGCACAACTATGATTTGTCCAGAAAATACAAGTACCAAATATGAAGAAAATGGAAAAATAATTACAAAGGGAGGGATGGGAGAGGGGAAACTAGTATAGAAGTAAAACCGAAGAAAAAAATGGAGGGGAGGAAGATTGGTATAAAGAAGAGGAGGGACAAAAATGGGAGAAAGGGGAATCGGGAGCGAGAGGCAGAGAAAAAAAAATGAAAGAAGAGATTGTAGAGGAAGATGATTCTAGAAAAAGGGAGACGATCCTCTCCAGACCCAAACCCTCCAGGTCCTCCTTCTTCTCTTTCTTTTTTGCAAGGTTTTTTAGCCAAAATAGTCCCTAAGATTTGCATAACTCCTCACTTTGGTCCCTGAGATTTCAAATCAATAGAAGTGGTCATTGAGATTGTCCACCATCCATCATTTTGGTCCTTTCATTAAAAACTCCATTAAGTGTTTCGGAGCTCTTGGCCAGAAGTTTTGGGCAATTTTCAAAGCTTTGTAACTCAATCGTTTCTTAACCAAATTCGACCCATAATATATCAAAATGAAGATAGGAAAATGTAAAATAAGATTATACCTATTTGGAAGCCCAATGGTTGCTGGATATTTTCAGAAAATAGCATCAAAGTTGACTGGTCTGAGAGAAAACTGGAAAACTTGCCGAAAACTGGGCAAACTTTAAATGTTCATAACTTCTTCAATACTTTACGAAATCAAGTGACTCAAAAGTAAAAATCATACTTCTCGATGAGAAGAAGAGAATGGTACCATTTTCAATGGCTAACTCACCATGGTTTGGCCGTAAAACGACTCGAAAGTGACTGTCTTGGTCTCAAGTTAGCCACTTTCAAACCATTTTCCGGCCAAACCACGGCTATTTAGCTGCTGAAAAAGATACCTTTCTCTTCTTCTCGTTGAGAAGTATTATTTTCTTTTTTGAATCACTTGATTTCGTTGAGTATTGAAGAAGTTATGAACGTTTAAAGTTTGCCCAATTTTTGGCGAGTTTTCCAATTTTCACTCAGACCAGTCAACTTTGAGGCTATTTTCCGATCATCTCCGGCAACCATTGGGCTTCCAAGTAGGTATAATCTAATTCTACACTTTCCTATCTTCATTTTGATATATTATGGGTCAATTTGGTTAAGAAACGATTGAGTTACGAAGCTTTGAAAATTGCCCAAACTTCCAGTCAAGAGCTCCGGGACACTTAACAGAGTTTTTAACGGAATAACCAAAATGATGGATGGTGGACAATCTCAGGTACCACTTCTATTGATTTGAAATCTCAGGGACCAAAGTGAGAATTTATGCAAATCTCAAGGACCATTTTGGCTAAAAAACCTTTTTGCAATTTTGCTTCTACTTCTTCTTCACTAACCCTTCTTCAACATTCCTTCTTCTTCAATTCTGCATCTTCTTCTTCACTTTTTTTTGTTTGTTTGTTTATAGATAAACTTCTACATGCTTAGTTTTATGTAAGCACGATCGTTGACGACCATTACATCGATGTTGCCAAGTACTAGCGCTGGGGAGGCACAACTCCAACTTCGGAGAAGCCCGACGCCGACTCCAAGAAAGCCACGACGTCGGCTCGGCCTTTAAAGAAGAAGGATCCGCAGGATACAGAGGGTTTGGATTTGGAGAGGATCCTCTCCCCTAGAAAAATAGAAAAAAAGATAAAGTAATAATAAAATATTAATTGATATATTAAATTAACAATAAAATATTAATATTAATAGATTAAATAATATAATATTACAATCATGTTTCTTAGTTGGACATTGCACCAAAAACATCACTAAATCAATCCAGCTTACTCTATTTTAAACCAATTCAGCTTAGTCCCTGAATCTAATTCAGTCTAAAATAATCCGATACAATAAACGCACACTATAAGTTTTAAAAGCATTTCAAGATATAAGCGTGACATTAAAAAGAAAGTTACGTCTTCTCGCATATCCATTTCATATTATTTAGAACATAATGTCAAAACACCGATTTAACAAATTAAGCTTAGCATGAAAACAAAAACGTAAAACAATTAAAATATAATATTAGCGCCGGGAGAAAATATCGGCTCAAGTATGAAGAAGACTAATCTCCATCTCAGACTTATTTTCCTGATCAATAACATCAAGAAAAACCGGATCAACGGTCAAGTGACTATCCACGTGGATCTTAAACTTGTGGTCCCACCACAAAACCCTTGCCGCACCGACAATATCCACAGCGGCGTCCAGCACCATCTCCCGCCTCGCCGCGTCGGCAATAAAGCTAGCGGCGTGGTGGGCCATCTGGAGGCCGTAGAGGCGAGCTGGGAGGAGGATCTTCTGGGAGGACTTGGCGGGCTGAGAGCCTGCCTCGACTTGGGCGGTACCGAGGAGGGAGCCCTTGTAGAAGATGGACATGGTGGTAGAGGAGTAGTGGATGGGGGCGATGTTGGGGTTGGTGACTTGGACTGTAAGGATGAGCTCGGCGTCGAGGAGTGGGAAGTTGAGCTTGAAGGAGGTCAACTTGATGGACATGACGTCGAAGGTGGGGTCCTTTGGCTTGGAAGATATTACAGCTGTTGCGGCTACGGCGGTCACTGCCCCGATGAGAGCTTTGTTCCAGCTCCATTCCACCTTCAAGTCCATTTTCTACTCGGTTTGCTCGGAGTTCAGACAGACAGAGTGGCGGGCGGCGGCGGGCGGCGGAGTTGAGATGAGTTAGGATTGGGTTTTGAGTTATGAACTCAAGTGTGTGGTCATTAAATATTGTCGTCCTGGAGTTCATTTTGGGAAAAGACGCTTGAGACAAAGTGCACGGTTTTGGGGAGGATAATGAGAACAAAATTTTAAATTAAAAGTTTTGTCTAGTTGTTGATAACTAAATTATTACATGTTTATTTTATATTGGTGATACATTATATAATTAGTAAATTTAATTAAAAAAATTGATTTACTTAACATTACTCTTTGGTGATTGGATGTCCAAAGTAGTGTCGTGTGCCAAGTGTCTGTGTGTCGCACCGAACTTTCAACCTTTCCATTTGCTTGTTTTGGAAAATTCTTCTAGTAGTATTTATTGACATGAAAAATGAATGGCTAAGAGTAAAAAGAAAAGATCTAAGTCATTTAGTATTACGTCTAATAGTATTTTGTAGTGAGAGAGTGGTTTTAAGTTTGATTCTCTCTAAAGACGACTTTGAGCTATATTCAATGAAGCTTAGCTACTCTCTCACCCATTAGTGTAAATAATATTATATGTATATAATATATAATCTAACGGCTAAAACAATTGATAACATTAAATATTACGTAGTATTCAAATCAGACCGGTAATTTATTATTTTGTTTGAAAGAATTTTATTCAATCAAGCATTCCCAAAACCTTGGAGCGTGGACAATTGAAGGAGGAGTTAAAATTCTTCATTACTCCTAGCCTCCGTATTATTTATTTATTCACTCTTTCTAGCTAGGATTTATTCTCTCTTAGATATTCTTCATTAATCAGGTTTGGAAGTTTTCCCTTAATTTTTTCATTTGCCATTGTTCAAATTGAACTTCCAAACCTGATTAATGAAGTTTTCCCTTAATTTTTTCATTTCCCTTAGTTTTCTCTTAGCGTATTATTTATTTATCACTTAATATAACTCCAATTTTACGAGCCATTATTAGTTATAGTCCAATTTTGTTTAATTTTTGCGTTAGGTCCAGTAATTTATTGTCCACACCAGCTTATTTGTATTCTCTTGCCACATTTACCCTTAAAAATTGACTAATCAAGCAATTACTATTTTTTTTAATTTGTGATTAAAGTTAATCTTATCCTTAATTATAGGATTATTTTTTGGGATTTAAATCTCATTTTTTTCTTCTCCTTCCACAAACCATTCATTTTTCTTTTCTTGTTTCAATTCTCTTTTCTTGTTTCTTCCTCACAATATCTTTCTCTCCCTGTATTATTCTGCCCAGCAATCTTCCTCCATAATATTCATCTTCTGCCCCTCCTCCTTCCATAAAGATGATCAATATATATTTGATTGGATTAAAAAAAAGAGATTGCACTAGTCAATCTTATGTTTTGGGGTTCCACAAAATCACTTCTTTTTTCTTCCACGAATTGCATACTCTTATGATTCTCGTTTATGCATATATAATTGCAGGCTCTCACAATTGATTTCTTCTTCAGTTTTTTGGTATATATTAAGTAGAATAAATCTACTTTATAGGTATAAAGTATCTGTCTTCCTAAAGAGTAGGTATACATAAAATTGAATCTATCTGAGAAATAAAATCCTAAATGCCCCACTGAAGGAATAAACCCTCCATCCCCGGCACTCGTAGTCACCAAATTGCTGCTCCACTTTGATCTGCGCCTTCCACCAGTTCAGGTAAACAAAATTTTGTTTCATTTTTTTTGGACAGAAAAAGGGAGAATATCAAACAAATTAAGATGGCATCATAATTAAAGGTCCCCAAACACCAAGGTACAAGCACAGAAAGTAAAACAAACTATGAATCAAATGGATATATAAAAACTCTGGCCATACGAGGAGGATGGATTGGGCGTGCCATGAATTATACACAAGGAGGATTGAAGATGCATAAATCATTCCACCAAAACAGGTAGATAAAACTAAATTAATTAATTCCACCCACAGAGGTAGAATGAAAACCCTTTTCCACCCATAGAGGTGGACAAAAACACATAACTTACGTACCTCTATCACAGGTTTTAATTTTTTTTATCTACCTCTCACAATTGTTTTACTTTTATTTTTGACAAACTTATCATACTTGTTGTATATGGATTTTTAAATTTTTTTTATGAGAAAGTAGACAAAGGCATTTGAAATTCAAATTTAACAAATTAAAAAATAATTTTATTTTTACTTTAAGGGGCAAAATGGACATACTAACAAATCAAATGAAACTGGTGCTGGAAGTTCTGGACGCCATTGTTGAAACCTGATTAACTAAATTTGAGTTGGATGAGATATTTGTGCTTCTAGGGACTATATAGAGGGTGATTTGTGTCGATTCTAAAGGCAACAACATTTGAATTTTTTAATTTGTTGCTGCAGACCTTGCTGTAGTTGCAATTTACAATATTAATTTATTTTATGTTAACTTTGTCGAGCATTATGATGTTTCCTTGTAGTTACGGTAGGAAACCATGAAAGTTAGAGCTCTAGCTTATCTTGATCAGCATTAAATATATAGATGGAGAAGAACACAAGTATATGCTTACGAGCGTTTGGCTTTGTTCACAAAACGTTCCTTGTTCATTCAATATTGTGTTGAATGAAAAAGCCAAATGCTCATAAGCATATACTTGTGTTCTTCTCCATCTATATATTTAATCCTGATCAAGATAAGCTAAAGCTCTAACTTTCATGGTTTCCTACTGTAACTACAAGGAAACATCGTAATGCTCGACAAAGTTAACATGAGATAAATTAATATTGTAAACTACAACTACAGCAAGGCCTGTAGCAACAAATTAATAAATTTGAATGCTGTTGCCTTCTCTTTAGAATCGACACAACCATCACCCTATATATAGTCCCTAGAAGCACAAATATCTCATCCAACTCAAATTTAGTTAATCAGGTTTCAACAATGGCGTCTAGAACTTCCAGCCTCAAATTCCTCTCACTAATAATTTTTTTATTTGCCATTGTTCAAATGGCAATGTCTGGAGACCCGGACATTCTTACTGACTTTATAGTGCCTCCAAATGCAAATGGTGTAAGAATCCTTATTGGACTCAACTAGTTGTGATAAAGATGAATCAACATGTTTGAGTTATAAATCAGTATGAGTTTTGTATGCATGCAAAATCATTCCCTACAATTGAGGAGTTACATCCATAGTGTTTCAAACTGAAAGCAATGGAGCCTGTAACCAACTCCCATGGTAGATGGACGTTGTGTATACCTTACTTTATAAATTGGATACCTTGCTCACAAAGGATAACACTCTTCGATCGCTTTGGGACTATCACCATAAAGGCTCGTTTACTAATCCGTAATCAAAATGGGGGGAATTGAATTGAGGATGAATTGAATTGACGTGGAATTGGATTGGAGAGGAATCATAATTAGATTCCTATGAAAGGTGTTTACTAAATTGTCAGGAAACGGAATAGGAATGATGTTGGTTTCATATAAGTTGTTTACCAATTCACTTCTGAATCGGAATCAAAACCATTTGATTACTAAACTACCCTTGGTCTAAATGAATTATTTTATGTGATAATTAGTATAATTTAATTTTCATACAATCTTAACCCATAAATGATTGAATTTTCTATCTCTTTATAAACTAATTTTTGAACTTTTTTTTTTTGACCTTTTCAAACCTAATTTTTTATACCCACCCCATTTCTTCCCAAGCCAGCAGCCCAAGTTCCTTTTGAAACTTAATTTTTAACGTCGTTTCTCTTCTTCCCAGTATCCTTCGTCAGTCCTCAGCAGCGGCTACCGCCACCACTCCCTCCCTCCTTCTCCTCCATTTTATTTTCTGTGGATCCTTCATCATCATTTCCTGTGCATCCATTGATCTCTCTTGCGCGTCGCACCTCCATCCCCACACAACCACAATGCCACAACCAAAGAACAACCAGCTCACTACGATATATGAAGACGCCCTAGGATTCTTGAGATTGGTTCGCTGGGCACGGGGAGGTGAAAGGGAGGCAGGCAGAGAGGTCTGGGCTTGTTGATTTGAGTGGCAGATTTGGAGTTTTTCAGGATGATGGGGTCATAATGGGTAGAAAATTGTATTCCGCATTCCTCCTTTGTCCCGGAACTCAAATGACACCTCCTACTCAGGAGTTCAATTCCTCCAAAATTCGGAATTCAATTCCTATCTTTCGAGTGGACCCCACCCATTTTGATTTCTTCAAATTTTAGTAAACACAAGAATAACTCATAATCGGAATCATACTCCGACTTTTGATTCCGATTACGGACACATAAACATGCCATAAGAGTGTACAGGTCTCCCAATGAGTAGGAGAATCATCTTGAATCACTACCATGTCTACTGCAAGTTGGAAACTGAGATGTAATTATCGAACTGGTGATCTAGGATTTCCTGTTAGTCTAAAGTATATATGTATCCATTCCAACAAATGGAACAGTAAATGGAAACTTCTTTACATACACCGGCTTTTGTGCCCTTTTTGGAGGAGACCCTCACAGACCCTCCCACAGCCTTCAAGGCTATGAAGGCATCCTTGGCTGAATTCCCTGCTCTTAATGAGCAGAGTGTTTCGTATGCCGTCCTTCAGTTTCTAAATAGAACTACCAACCCACCACACACTCATCCTTGCTCTGCTGAGCTACTTTTCCTCGTTGGTGGTACCCTTGAAGTTGGTTTCGTTGACACCAAAAACAACCTGTTTACGCAAACGCTTCAGGCAGGTGATTTTTTGTGTTTCCCAAGGGACTTGCGCACTGCCAGTACAATGCTGATGCAGAAAACCCAGCCACAGCAATTTTTATTTGGAAGTGCAAATGCAGGAACTGTATCAATCCCCTCCACCTTGTTCACCACGGGCATCGACGACAATGTGTTGGCTATCTCCTTCAAGACTGATGTTGGCACCATTCAAAAACTCAAGGTTGGTCTTGCTCCCAAGCCATAAAGATAGTCCCATAATCATAGAATTGATGGCCAGTATTACATAGTTTGTTGAATAATTACCAATAATGTGTTCAAAGGGTGTGCCATCAACCTGTATTACATTGTTTGCCATGATTAATTTATTCTCAACTATATGAGAACATTTCCTTGATTA